TGCATTAAACTATTTATAGTTTAAGGGCCTGGTTAGAATTACTGCCTTAGACTAGGAATAGCTAAGAGCTGAATATAAAATGATGTGGCCTTAGATTAAGAATAATTTAAGAGCATTATTGATATATTGAATATCAAATGACTTGGAATAAAATATTGAAAATATTATGAATGTTTGAACCATATATTGTGTGCATGATATTAAATGGTTGATTATGAATTGAGATTCAATTTATGTGGATGATCGACGCTTTAGATATGCTTACTCAGCTTCACCGCTGAGCGTGTAGTGTGTTTTATTTGCTACACGCAGGTAAACAAAAAGATTAATGTGATCCTGGCGGCAGATGGGGCGAGATTGTCAGGATGGATGTGACAAGTTTTGAAATAATTTATGATATGTCCATATTAAATTCGCTTCCGCAATATTGTTAAATACTCCGTACTGTATATGTTATCAAAAATATTATTGGGATTAATAAAGTGTGTTTGAAAAGTTTTAAATTTTACGATTACCAAGTTAAATACTTTAGTCCGAATGGGGCTGCAGACCTGGACGGATTAGGGTGTTATAGGAAGCCTATTGGCTTGATACTCGTTGTTTGTGTTGGAACACGGGTTTACGTCTTACGTCGTACTAAACTGTGTTCGGTGTTAATGACAGGTTTTGATAATGCCAAACCGCCGCGACATATCGAAGCCAAAGTGAGCAAAACTAAGGCGAAGGAACATGGCATGATGACTTGAGAACCAAGAACCCAGAATCAAGAACGAAGAACTAAAATCGTATTGAGTCGGTCTAAATGTGATCAAGACCGGCACAAAATTCCAAATCTTGGCTCTCTAGGCTCAATTCATAAAAATCTCTTTTACATGTTCAAAACTATTTTTTTCTTTAGTTTAAACTTGGGTCAAAACACTTGGAGTTCGCCCAAGCCAAAAACCAAGCCATCCGGTGTTCGGCTTTCAGAAACCGGCATTCGGCTTTCGGTTTTCGGCATTGGTTTTGGCGTTCGAACCAACCAAGTGGTTTTCAACTTTTTATGACTGGTTTTTATCTCTGGGCATATTTAATTAGCTCTCCAACAAAAACGCCTCAAAAACCACTCTCCGTTTTTTGTCGTTTAGTAAAAACCATGCGAAACGGCACAAACTTGGTTAGCCGTGGTTTTCAACTAAATGACGTGGTTTTCAAGATGTTTTACTTGTTCTCTTAGCAAAATAAAATAAACAAATGTTTTCTAAACTTGGTTTTTATTTTGGAAAACTTGCATTTTTGACATCGGCTAACGGCGTGACTAAACCAACCATGGGTCTGGCTAAACCAGCCCAACAGCGATGTTGAGGTAATCAACAGCGCTGTCTGGACTAGGTAGCTAAAAACATGGTTTGGCGTTAAGTCTTCCAACAGCGATGTTGGTCACTAGACATCGCTGTTGAGCCAAGGTTGGATTTCCAAAAACTTCTGGAACAGCGATGTAGGCTTCCCTACAGCGCTGTCCAACCTAAGCCAAAAATATAGTGCATTGGCAGAAAGTTTTTGGACAGCGATGTTGACCCAGCAACAGCGCTGTCAGGCCAAACTTCCATCTCCAAAGGCAGACCTAAACAGCGATGTTCTTGGATAGAACATCGATGTAGAGACCTGACCGTTGGAAGGAATTTAAGGCTAAAACTTTCCTTATTTGGAAGTCAACAGCCAAAACAGCGATGTAGGGGTTTTGGACATCACTGTTGGCATGACCGTTGCTTCCCAATTTTTAAAAATCAAGCCTAGAACAGCGATGTTCAAGCCTAGGACAGCGCTGTCTGGGTGAATTTCAGCAGATCCAATTTTAATCAAATCCCACAAATCATGCCAATCACCCCTTAAATACTTTGGCCCGTTGGAGCCTATTTTTCCACTATAAAATGGGGTATTTGGGTCTGTTTTTCATACAACATTACTTCCCAACTCCTACTCTTTCATTGCAAATCATTCTTCAATTTTTCATAGCTTTTGAGAGCCATTTTTGTGAAGCCTGTGTTGTGTTCTTGAGCGTTCTTAGTTTACTCATTATCCACTCTAAAAGAGAGTATTGTTCTTGAGTGTTTTTAGTGTTCTTAGACACTTGACAAGAGAAGATATCTCTCTTGTTGTTCGAAGGAAGGGTTGTTTCCTTTGAAGGTTCGTTGAGGTTCGTGTGACTCGAATTCTCAAGTTGTACGGGTTTGTTAAGCACCGTTAAGCTTAACGAGATAGTAGTGTAGCTCGAGAGAGTCTCTCGGGAGGCTGGACTAGCCACAAGTTGTGGTGAACCAGGGTAAAATTGGTGTGCCTCGTTCTTTTCTCTTTACTTCTCGCTTATTCATTTTTATTCCTGCGATTTCTTGATCAAACGCTATTCACCCCCCCTCTAGCGTTGGTCTATTATTCTAACAGTTTGAGACAACGGAAATGAGGGAGCGCTCCTCCTCTCTATTCAATGAATTTGAATAAGGGAGTAAAAGTGAGTCCCAAAATTATTTTGTGTGTCAAACGATGAACACGAAAATATTTAAATAAAATATTTTTGCTTTCCAAAAATATTTTCTAATATCAAAATAAACATTTTGATAAATCTTTGACACACTTTTTGTAACTGACTCAATAAATTTATTTTGAACAGTTAAAAGGATTTTTCAACTGACTCCAAAAATAAATATAGTTTTTATTTTAACTCTCATAAAAGTAATTTTGGAGAGAAGATATTTTTGTCATCCTTACAATAATTCCTAAGACTCAAATAAATCTTCTACTCCTCCGAGTCCTCCGTTAGGCGCTCCGGACGCGTCTCGGACTTCAACAAAATCCTGTGCACCTTCTTGAATACTTCAAGGAATGGCACTTCAAGTCTTTGTGTTTGTCGTTGTAGCACTTTAATCTTGACTTGAATAAATTGTGTTTGTCAATTATCAAAACCTGTGAGTCAACACTAAACAACACAGAAAGAGTTGAACTCATGCATTCCAACACTCTTTGTGAGAGTTTTATTCCTGGGTGTTTAAGTGTTTCTATACACTTTAAGGGAGATTGTTCCCCTGTTGTAAACTCGAAGGAAGTATTTCGTTCCTTCGTGAGAAGTCTTGGAGTGTGGTATCTCCGAGCAAAGGCGTTGAGGCTCGTGTGACTCGAGTTCTCAAGTTGTATCGGTTTGTTGAGCACCTTTAAGCTTAACGGAGTTAGTGTAACTCGAGAGAGTCTCTCGAAAGGCTGGATTAGCCACACGTTGTGGTGAACCAGGATAAAATTCGGTGTGCTCCTTCCTTACGCTCTTTACTTTATCGCTTTCGTTTTTAATTTCCTGCAATTTTGTTGTAAACGTTATTCACCTCCCCTCTAGCGTTGGGCCTATTTTCTAACAACATAGACGGCTGAGCAGAGGCTAGCACAGAGTCAGAGGTCTACCGCGGGCTCAAACCCACCGAGGGGACAGAATCAGAATCAGAACCGTCAGCAGGGACGCACGCTTGCACGCACCTGTGCCATGCAGGGGCGTACCGAAGTGAATCGTGACGTCATCTTGGGTATGTTTTCATTATTCGACACTCCTATGCTTGCATTGATTGATCCAGGATCTACGTTGTCTTACATATGTGTTCCTATGCCTGAGAAATCTGAGATCCAGAGATGCGATCTGGAATATCCTATGGTAGTATCTAATCCGTTAGGTCATAGCATGCGACTTCACCACTTGTACCGCAACTGCCCATTGATGACGCAGGGACACCGTTTGTCCGCGAACTTGATCGAGCTACCATACAAGGAATTTGATATTATCCTTGGTATGGATTGGTTGACCGAGCGTCAAGCGATAATTAACTGTGGTTTGCACACCGTACGACTGAAGACCGATGAAGGTGATATCGTAGAAGTTAAGGGGGAGCTGTTCCCCAAGCCTCCAGAATTCATGTCCTATATGCAAGCAAAGCGACTTATCCGGAAGAAGTGTGAGGCATTCATGTGCCACGTTCGCAATACTAGAA